TTCGTTCATTCGTTCGTTCCTTATGGTAACGCAAAGATAACGACGTAACAGTGCAATCTAAAACTATCGCTAGTTCAATCTTATTTACTTTACGATAAAAATCAATAACCCTAATTTTCGTTCTCAATCCTAAAGAAATAATATTTTGTTGATTTAATTTCTGAATATATCTAGCACTGAACCTATATACAAGGAAAACGATTGCAGTGTTTTAAATATGGCTACCATATTCATGATTTTATTGCCACTAGAGTGCGCATCGATTCGCATGATCTGATATTTCAATTATATATAGTTGTATCACACAAAAAAAAACCAACACACACACAAAAAGAAAGCAACACACACAAGTACTAAAATCTGAACTTAAGAACACTAGTGCCGCCCTTGTGCAGAATTATCGTACCAGATTTTTCCTCATTTTCAACGACACAAATTCGACGAGAATCCTCTTTGTATAAAGTTTTGTTACATCTAGATTCGTTATTATTTTATCTTAAATTTCATTTTCCTAATTATTAATTATATTGTTGATTTGACGTAAAACGAGATCGGATTTCATAGTTTTACAATGATTAATTCATATTCTAGTAATTAGGTAAATAAAAAAGGGGAAAAATATGAGAATGAAACGTTTATACGAAGGAATTGCGGTGGTGCACGGTTTCGAATTACTCGTGCTTCAACTTCATCTCTCGGCATTTCAATCGGTTTTTTAATTTCACGCCTGTGAATGCAGCCGAGAGAGTTGGATTTATGATCAGCTCCATGGCATTTTTTTCATCGTCAAGAGAGTGCGTAAGCCGGTGAGCTCGGATTGGTTTCACGTTGTCTCTCTCTCTCTCTTTCTCTTTCTCATTCATTCATTCCTTTTCTCATTGTCAGTAATCTTCTTCTCTTCCTTATTTCATTTCCACTTGTACGCTAGCACCATTGTTTCCTTCTTGCATATGCAGGCTTTCTTTCTCTCGTATTACTCGCAAAGTACGACGACGAATTAAAGGAAATTCACGCTCTGCTTCTTCGACATCCTCTTATGTGAAAACTGTTTTTTTTCCTCTCTTTCTCTCTCTCAATTTATCCACATTTTTTTTTAACAAAAGGAAATAAAAAATCAAGTCTGATCGAAGCAATCTTATTTATGAATGTTAATTGAATTCTAAAGTACGTTAAGTATCATCGAAATTCTTCGTTCGTAATCGATTTTATTATAGTTTACTTCTATTTTTAATTAATTGTCTCGTTTTATGACGAACAACGGCTAATTGACTATTACGTTTTGTTTTTAAAATAGAAATATATGTATATGTGTAATGATAATATGATTTGCATAAAACATCGCATCGACCAAGTCTTATTTGAAACTAATTAACGAGTAAGAAATAAGTTAATTAAATTATTAAACAAACCGTGCGGAAAAATCTTCGCCGATAATATTATACGATCGACTTGTAACTATAAGCGAAAATAGAGTAATAACTTTTCTTATCTATTTTCTACGATCGAGTTAATTGGATTATTAATAACGTAGTACTTGTTAGATAAACGACGTAGTCGCAGACATTAATGTAGTAAAAAGTATTATATATTCCCGGAAATTCCTTCTCGACTCTTGGTTTGATTATCGCGTTTCTTGTGCAGGTGTGATATCGAAAAAGACGAGATATAGAAGAAGAAGAAGAAGAAGAAGAAAAAAAAGAAAAAAAAAGGGAAAAACGAAAGGCTTATCTACGTGCTTATCGTTAACGTTCGTTTGAAATGAATAAGAAAGTTTCAAGGTACAAATCGAATCTCTTTATCCTTGTTTACACTTCGGCGAATCGCAATTACTGATATTCGATAAAGATAGATAATAAAGGAGAAAAAGAAAAAAAGAAAGAAAGAAAAAAATACTACAATATAAAAAAAAATAACTACATGTCTCAGAGTAGAGAATAATTTTATTTCGTAATAATTCCATTCCGCGATTACGATTTGATAAATAAATGATTTGATAATTGTATTATTTTTTCTTTTTCATTTCAATTATTTTTCTCAATTACTATAAATAGATATTTGGTCTAAGAGTTACAAGAAGAAAAAAAAACAACGAAAGAAATGTAATTCCATCAATTGATTTAATTTCATGTGAAATTCTTAGCGAAAACGTTTCTAAAATTGGAAATCAAAATTGCACTATGTTTCTTTCGCGTGTCGTTGTTTTGCTAATATTTGCGTTGAAAAAAAAAACAGAAATATTAGAAATCTATAAATAAAATGGAAAGATTAAAACCTATATCGAAATGTAATTCAATTGCTGTCAACGATAAATCAGTATGAACATTGTCGATCGTTTAAAGGACAATGAGTGAACTGAGAAAAGCGTTTGGTAGCATGACACAGGGTATGTCATTACTGTGTTACATATAAGCTCCATTGGTACGACGTATTCTGCATAAGAATGAGCTGTTCGTTTCTTCGTCCCTTCGAAGGATGCCTCGCCGGAAGGGAGATATTACAAAACCTTTTGAAAAACAAAGATCTCATCGGCATGCCGTGAATGCGCGAGAGGATATATCAGAGTCGGTTCGAGTTTGAACGTTCAGCGGTGCGAGTATTAAATGTTCCTTTAATATGCACGTTGAATATTGATCAGAAACAAGACGAGAGAAAACTTAACGTTTTTTCTTTTCTTTTTTTTTTCATAGTAAAAATCAACGAGCACGCGCGGACACATCCGGTGATCTCGTTGCTTGGAAAAGATCAAGAAATGAAAAATCTTTCAACGAGTTTCATATATCCAATCATTTTTTTTACAACGTATGTAATATTAAATCTTTCGATCGATAAAATCCTATCGTAGGAAAAAATATTGTTCTCGGTAATGAAGTTTGCTAAACATATTTATTAATAATTTTATTTTTGGACGAGAGAAATAATTAATTGGATAAAACAATGATCGTTAAATGGAACAAAATATTAAGTAGACAAAAGCAACATGATACTTACTCTAAGTCGGTTTTTTTTATTCGAAGTGACTCATCCAATTAAAAGGATCGCAACCCGAACGCATTATTTCATTTATGCGTAAGTTCTTATACAAAATATTTGCATATATCCGCGCAAGCAATTAATCAGGAATATTTATTACACCTTCTCATGCTCGCCGGCTCGGCAATTAGTGAAATGCTTATTTCTTAAACGCGTTTGCCGAGTATTATATACAACTAGGAGTTCGTCATATCACGTCGTTTTCGTTTCGCTACGAGAACGAAGCAACGATAATTACTTCATTAATGTTAAACGACTTCTTCTTATATTCAAATTTCTCTAAGTTATATTCATAACTTTACATATCGATGATCACAAATGATATACCATTTATTATACAAAAATCTAAATTTAGTTATGAAATACGGACTTGTGGTATAAACAATTAGCCTTATATCCATACTTTAAACAAATACTAATGTGAGATTATACTCGAATATTTTTTCAGGTCAACGAGGAGATGGCAGGACGACGACGACGCCATGGTGGCGACTGTGGTGATGGTAATGGTGGTGGTGGTGGTGGTGGTGGTGGTGGTGGTGGTTGGTCAGGACGTAAGATACAAGTATAAAGGATAACTACAAAAATAAGTAGAGGAGGAGAAAAACGGCAAACTAACGATAAATCAGGGCTATGGCATTCCTAAGATAGTGCTCTACCTGAAAGTCATTACAGTAGCAAAGTAATTCCCAACTAAGTAAGTAAAGCAATAAATACATAATGCATCCGGCAAGTTTCCCACACGGTGCTCGTGGTGAGCTACTACGGGGTCGGTTACGCGGCCTTACAATTCCATGAAATCATGCATCACGAGAGAAAGAGAAAATAAGGACGCACCGAGCCGATTTATTTGCACGTCGATTCGACCGAGCTAGTCGAGAATGGATTCTATTTTTTTTTTTTTGTCGATCGCGAAAGATGCAAACACTCAAAGCCCATGGGGTAAACCACCTTGTCGTGGGAAATATCGAAAAAATGTATTCCTAACGAAACAATAAATTATTTTCTTACTCAAATGTTATTAGAAATAGGAAGTGAGTAAGTAAAATAAATAAATAAAAATCTATATATATATATATACGTATGCATAATTTACTAATAAATTCATATTCTTATAAATTATGCATCATTTGACATGGCAAAAACTACGTCGTTTTAATCAAACACGTGAGTATTTATTAAATATAAGAAACATGCAGAAAATTGATTACGAATCATGTGTGTTCTTTTAAAAGAATTTTTCCTTCGTTACGTCGTCAAATTGCATTTACCGAGCAAATGTTTCTGTTCATTTTTCAATGAGCGTGTGAACCACGTTGTTGACCGTCTCCAAAGAGCAGTTTTCATTGGATTTCTCGTCTACTTTCGATAGATAAAACCAATCGAATATTATGCAAGAAACGAGAAATTAATTATTCCAACGATTTGACTTATAATATTTCTTTTTTTTTTTACTTCGACCTGTTTCACATTTTCATGAATTTAAGCGCATTTTTGTTTGTTTTTTTTCTTTGCTAAAAAGAAATATATATTTTTCACGCTTGATTCTACCGTATTAGATTTATACGGGCGAAGTATTGAATTTTATGATTATTCTCTATACGTAGTCGAACGTACAATTCACTTTTAATTTAATCTGCAATGAAAGGAAACCCGTCGCATTACGCTTTCTTTTATCCTCAACTTTTTTGCCCTTACAACTTGGGAAAGCTATCGGGATGTAGTTTTTTTTAATCTATGCGATTAATTAAATTATACAAGTAAGAATCGGTTTGATCTGATACATCGGATGATCCAAGAATATATACGTGTTTAGAAATATTTATCTTGTTATATTATATAAATGCGTATGGGGGATATTATCGATGTTTTTATAAGTTTATAAATATGCGATACGCATTTGTCTAGTTTTGCATCGTGACATAGTTATCGTTGAAATATATTTCTTTTCGTTGATATTAATTGATTTATTGAAAAATCTAACATACCTGGTTATAATGGTAGAAAGCGTATTCAATGGGAATTATCGAGAAGATTTGAAAATATCCGATGATGATGATGACGACGATGATGATGATGATGATGATGATGATGATGTGAAAATAATAGAAACTAATCGAGTTTGGAAAATATGCGAGAACGTAAGAACAAAATCTATCTTTAAGGTTATATCAATACTTTCTATCTAGAAAGCCATGCCAAGCCAACTTCAGTTTTCTTACTTCTTTTTAAATGTAGATAAAGATCAAGACAGAGATATTGGACGAGATCGAAGATTTCTCAGCAAACGACGAACTCGTCGTAGTCGAAGACGAGAATCCTTTTGAGAAACGAATAATAATCGGTCATACGACCAGAAAAGACCTCGTATGTACCATTTGTAGAATAGATTTTCCAAATGAAGATGAATTCAAAAGCCATATGATTTTACACAGTCGCTGTGAACTTTACCGATCCACCATATCTTCTCAATTATTACCAAGGTTAGATTTACATTTTTCTATTATTTTACAATGAATTATATTTACGTATTTTCGATTCGACGACACATATGAACGATTGATTGATTATCCTTAAGCATATTTTTCTTTCAGATCATCCAATTTAGAAAATCATTCGAAAACTTACGTTGACATTGATCGCAATTATCAGCCTATAAAATTTCAGGTATAGATATTTGTAAAAGTATTATATTACCATGTTGTGTTGTACGTGTTCTGTGTTTGACGGTTTTTTGTTTTTTTTTTCTTTTTAGGAAGAAAGTACCGTACGAATTCGTGGAAGATTACCGAAGGAACGGTGCTTCGAATGTGGAATCTATCAAAAGAAATGTTCGCGCGATCGCAAAGCGAGTTACGCGAAGAAAAAGTCGTTCGAGTGTACGATTTGCAAAAAGAATTTCTTGAGACGCAGTGGTCTTCGAGCACATTCGATCGTTCATACAGCTGATTCTCCATACAAGTGTGATATCTGTCCGGCTAAATTTAAAAGATCTTCCGTTTTAAAAACGCATAAATTAACGCATACGAATATAAGAAGATTCGAGTGTGATATTTGTAAGCATCGTTTTCATTTGAAAGGTGCATTAAAACATCACATACTCGCGCATTACGGTGAGTTGTTTCGCTGACAATTTTATTTTCCAAAAAATCTTAAAACTTCGTCTTTTTTTTCTACAAACAATTATCTTCAAGTTACAGGCGTAAGACCATACAAGTGTGAAGATTGTGGCAAATGTTATAGAAGATCTTGGGGCTTAAAAGTTCACATGTATCGACACACAGGAGTGAAACGTTTTGAGTGCGATCTCTGCAAAACACGTTTCAGTATCAAGACGAAATTAGCGAAACACATATATCAACATACAGGAGAAAAACCATACAAATGCGAGCTTTGTTCACGTCAATACGATGAAAAATATCTTCTTAAGAGTCATAAGTGTCCAATGAATTTGGATACTTTTTCGAAATGTAAACACGATGCTACACATGATCGATCTAATGGAAAGATCTTCCTTGTTTTATAACAATTACATTATTATTAAGGGGTATCTATCATGATTAAGGAGTAAAAAAAAAAACAAAAAAGTCCTGGCCTGACATTGTTAGTTTTAATGAAGTTGATATATTTGCGAAAAAGTAATGTCCACTCCCGTGTTTCTTCCATCCTTCCGAGATTAATAATTCTCGGAATGAAACAAAAAGAACAAACAAACAACGGTTACTCGTATTACTTAGCTGTTAGTTTTTAATAAGGTTCCCATTAAAATCAGAGACGGTAGAATACCGTTCTGTCTCTTCTGTATCCTGATTGTTGCATCAATCCACACACGGAATTCTCGTTGAAGTTTGCATGCCCGTAGACTTTAATAAAGCAGAACCTTAATAAGCACTTTGCCGTTGAACAAAAGTCCGATTAATACCAGAGTTGTTGGCCGTGCACCATTCGGTGGTCTCGATTCGAATTGGTTTCAAGCTTGGAAATGCTGGCTCAGCGAGAGGTTACGGTCTAGGTCGGGTTCGACATCGTCATCAACGTCCAAGTATCGTATAATCATAGTATTTATTTGGCATCGGATGAACGTGACTTCTAACGAATACCGAAAGCCCGTAAGCTCTATAACGAAGCTATTCTTACTCTTATCGTTAATAATTTTCAAATGTATAGTCTCGTCTAATTAAACATTTGTATTCCCTTTTGAAAGATCCTATATCGATGTTTCTTTTTTAGAAGTACACGAAACAAATCATTCGATGAAACATAATATTTCAAGTATCAAGTCAGTACAAAAAGTTTGTGCACATTTATCTCGTATGGTGTATCCACTTTTCAAGCTTGAATAATTTTCTAATCTCTTCTAACCCCTTGGGTACATTTGACGTCTGAGAAAAGTCATTCATTTGTTTTCCATTCACCATTTCGTTTGGCAGCGATTACTTGAGGACATCTTAATACTACATCTAAATACTACAAAATTATATCCGTTCACATGCAAATATTTTCTCAAATCAAATCCGTACCCAAAGGGTTAAATGTCGAAATATTGTCCCATAAGATGAATTCATCTGATCCACTATTAAATGTACCTCTAATTCAACAAAATTTTGTAATAACGTCCTTATCAAAATCGACATACATTTAACTAAATTTTCAACTGACCTGATAAATCGTCCTTGACAATCGACAAAGTGCTTCTTCAGCGGCCTTAACCAATTGTAATCTCGAACACGTGGATCCTCCTTATGTCGCCGGACGTGAGAACGGCGCTTTAAGGTGCGTGGACTCAGCAGGGGAAAACTCGTATAATGTAATCTGAGAAGGTAGAGAAGCTTATTTCTTATCAGATCTCTGATTCGTGTGCCTCCCGTCGGATTCCGGGCCCTTTGACAATGCCGACGCGTATCTGCCTTCTGGCCCCGTTTTTTTTCCCCATTCCATCGCAATTTCGCGAATTCGCGAAGAAACGCAATGCTGCGTCCGCGTTATGTTGGTCTTTATGCGATACTTCAATCTTGATTTCGGTAAGAAACGAGAGAAATGATTGTCAAGAAGGGGGTGATAGGGGGGGAGTTTGGTCAGTAGCGCGCGAGCCCTCCCTTCATCCCTCCACCATCCCTTATCTTCAATCTCACGATGCGTAAATACTTGCGAACATTTCGCGACCGTCGAATAATATTTTATGTAACGCCATACGTTGCCTTCTGTTGTTTTTTGTTTCTTTCTTTTTTCTTTTTTGCATCCCTTATCTTAATTCTCATGAGAATGATTCGCATTGTAAGGTCGACTTGGATAAGTTTTGCGTGCGTGCTTTTCGACAAACTTTTATTTCAACCTTGCATAATTGCGTGCAGAAAAGGTACGTACGTAACACGGTGCATCTTTGTTTGAATATCTTTCGAAAATGGTTCAATGGAAACGTTGGAAAGCGAGATGAATAATCGTTTTATACAGTAATCACGAAATTATGAATTACATTAGTTGATAAATGCTTTATTTTTCAAGCTTCCTGTTTTACGCGATAAATTATCCGTTGGTTGATCGAGTCAATCACGTATACGCGTATACTTTATTTATTTTATTTTTTTTCTAAGAAACAAGTACATCCGTCGGTCGCGTGAATTTTGAATAAAATATAAGCTCGTTAACGGTGGTATCTAATGTAACCATCGATCGGAGACGTCTAAAGAGACGAAGGGGAAGTCTTATGCTTCTCGCTCGAGCTTCTTTTGACACATCGCTTCCTTAGACTACAATTTAAATAGACAACTTTCGCGTTATAATATATATATACATATATATTTATCTTTTTCTTTCTCTCTCTTTTTCTCTCTCTCTCTGTCTCTCTGTTTCTCTCCTAATTATGCCTACGGCCCGTGGAATCTACAATCTGACAGCTCGCGTACACGGCCTCGCAACACCGTATGCAGAGTCACGCCACAAGTCCTAATTATTTAGATAAGAATCATAGCGATTTAATTATTTTGCCCGTATCGTTGCTCTATTCGCCGGCATGCTAAGCACATCTACGTATGTATATATATATGTATATGTAAGTACACTCGGTATGCCTTTTTAACATGGATTCGAACAGATTCTAAGTGGCGATGCCATTCGTAGTACCGGTTACTAATTACAATTCACAATTACGCGATTCTTAGTAAGACACTACTTTCGAAATTACGTTTGATGTATAATACTCTTCTTGATGCGTTCATTTATGACATAACTATAATATTAAACCCCTTCCTTCTTTTCTGCATTGATATATTTCTTTGTCACTTCGCAAAATGATCACAAAAGTATCGTAAATAATAAACGGGGTGGGTTGGGAGTAGAGAAATAGAAAGAAGAAGAAAAAAGAAAGCTTTCAAGCGGTCAATTCACGAAGGTATAGAATAATACAACGAAGAATATTAAAAAAACAAAAAAAAACAAAGAAAATAACGACGATATCGATTAGTATTGACAGGAGGAGCGATTAAATAGGCCGATTCGGTCGGTCAGGGAGTTAATAATGACCATGCGAGGTTTACTGATAATTGTTACCACTGTAATTTCTCATTGATAATATTTAAATACGGGCTTTTGATAGCTGTCTTCCTTTCGACCGGCATATTATTCTGTTCCTTCCCTTTACGTTTGTTCCCGTAAGCACTCCGCCCCTGATTGTGAGAACAAGCAGAGGCGTACTATTTATCGAGCTGGTCCCATCATTATTTCATCGAACTCTTTCAACGCCTTTACCTTTCTTCCTTCCTTTTCTTTTCTTTTCTTTTCTTTTCTTTTCTTTTCTTTTCTTCCCAACTCGTTTCACTCTCTTTCTTCGTACTAATCGACAACGAGGTATCGTTGCTTGTCTGTGTGCGAGTTCCCTCTGATTTTTCGGTCTCAGACTTCTTTCCGTTCGACCGAAAAAAAAAAAAAGAAGAAAATTCTATCCGAGTTGTTTTCTTTTCGATGACTCTAAAAAAACCCGGAAGAATTTCTCCTCTTTCGTTGAGTTTCAATTAAAATATAACTTCTTCAAGAGGACTGACATAAAGACTCTTTTTTTTAGGAAGAGGCAACACATAACTTGACGTAATCTTGGAATGGGAAAAGAAACTTGCGCGGTGGTATTCGAGGGGGTGGGGAATAAAGGAGATGTAAATTTTTCTGTTAAAGCGTTCTTCTTCTCTTTAAGATTTATCGTAGGAAAAATTGCGAGTTAAGTATCCAAGATTATTCGGCTATCGAACATAAATCCTAAAGCTTATATGCATACAAGAATATGTACGGGAACAAAATACATAACCACACACACATATGGTAGTAGTAGAAGACAACTTTTTTCCTCGTGAATTGAACTCAACCGATATTTCGATGCAATCTAATTGGATATGAAATTAAGTCAACGAAATTCCGACAAAAATGGCGGCACCGCGGCCAAATTTGAAATTCATATCTCCTGTGCAACGCGAGAGAGCCTGACGCATCCGTCATCTTTTTCTACCCTCGCTTGAATAAATCGAAAAGAGAGAGAAAGAGAGAGTGAGTCTTGTGATCTCGCATAATCGTGAACCAACAACGTATTTATGCACTAAACCATTCTTGGAGGTCAGGCGGCGGAGAGTTCGATGCCCATCATTCGAAGTTGTCCATTTTCTTTTTCTTTTTCATTTTCTTGGGTGATTTTCAAAACCGTTTACGACGGGACGATTACAATTGTCTCGTAGTAGTAGTAGTTACACGTTTAGTCTCGTATCTTTACGTTAACAGATGGTTAAAGATCACGCTACTACAATTTCCGTCTTGTCTCCGAGTGATCTTAACGGTTAACGGTTGTGTGAGAAAGATCAAGAGAAAGAAAGAGAAAGAGAGAGATGTATATACAGATAGACAGACATGTCGCGTGCTTCTTTACCACGACTCAGCTTGGAATGAAAATACGAATGACGGAAAGGTTTCATCTTATTTTATGTCTCGTTGCTGAGACTAATGAGATATATATACCGTTTAACGTTCGCGAAAACGATCATAAAAAAAGAAACCTATAATCTTATACGCAAACGGTATATCGTCTACGACAAATAGTCTCGTTACTTGGACTTTTGTGACTTTAACAGACACACCAAGCTTAACATCAAACTATATACTTAATTTAAAGTAACAATCAAACTCTCTCGGTTAGAGGAATTATATCCTCTTTGACCATTTGCTCGCGAAAAAAAGCAAGAAAGGGCAGATAGATAGCTAGATATTTATTCAGTTTTGTTGAGTGTTCAAATTATAACGGATTAAGACTTAACGAAGTGTAGATGTTTTGTGTTTTGAATATTATATATAAAAATGTATGTCTACTTAAAGAAAAAAGACGCTGAACTTTAAAGATTAAGTTCCTGAAGAAGTCTCAATAAAGGGACGAAACGTCCAACTTATCAAAATTAAGTTCTACTTCTTTTTTTGATGTCCAAATTCCCTATGATACCTTCTTATTAAGAATATTTATTTAGTTTTCTCAGCTATTTGTTTTTACAAATTTGACATAAATTTTTAGTTAATAATCTCACTAACAATAAAA